ACTTTACACACGGCTTCGTCTTTGGGTCCGGAAGTAGAGCCTTCGAATTTAGCCTCCGTCACCTCTCCAACACACACACCCCAAACACACACACCCCAAACACAAACATTCAAAACACACACAGCCCAAACACACACAGCCCAAACACACACACCCCAAACACACACACCCCAAACACAGAAACCCCAAACACAAACATTCAAAACACACACACCCCAAACACAGACATTCCAAACACACACACCCCAAACACAGACATTCCAAACACAGAAACCCCAAACACAAACATTCAAAACACACACACCCCAAACACAGACATTCCAAACACACACACCCCAAACACAGACATTCCAAACACAGAAACCCCAAACACAAACATTCAAAACACACACACCCCAAACACACGAGTCACCCCCAACACCTCTCTTCACCAAACTCAAGACGTATCTACTTCCCCCGAGGACCCAAGACAAAGAACTCGACACAGGCTGTGTGACGTCACCTCCAGAAACCCCCGCACAACCTTCCACAGAAGACAAACGACACCTCAAAGGCCGAGAGGACACTCCCGTTGTCATGGCAACACCCTCCTCTAATCCAACGATAACGCGAACGACGATAACAAAAAATGATGTCGACGAAAGCTTCACCTCGTCCAACAGTAGAACAACAACACCGACGACAACGACGTTGATGATGAAAGTTTTGTCGACGGGAGACCCGACCTCTGACCCCGGCCGCCGTGTGGCGCTGTGCCCTGGGTGTCTGCAGCCCGTCATTGACAGAATCACTCACCAACTGTGGGTTCTGACGAAGACTGCTTACAAACACCACCTGTCTTTCCTGGAGGTGGTGGCAGAACTCACGCGTCTCAGGAGGGAGCTCGAGAGATACGTCATGACGTCACTCAGGGAAACCATCAGACGGGAAGTGGAGAGAGAGGTACGGAGAGTGATGAGTCTGCAACTCGAGCAGACGGGAAGGAAGTTTCGTAAAAGACGTTCCGTCGTGGATATGGCCCAGAAAGTCATGAAAAATAATGTGGAACTTCTATACGGGAACAAGGAGCCAACTCTAACTACGAAGCTGCAATCAGTGAGCGCAGTCATAGACTCAAAACGTCGTTTGAAGCGAGAGGGGACGAGAGAAGAAATCGTGCCTAGATCTACATCGCCCACACAATCAGAAGATTTCTACGATGCAGATTTCGGAAATATTTTTGGAGAAAGCTTTCCAGACACGATAGACCCAACAAGCCCAACGATGAAGAAATTTGTGTCTGAGTTGGGGGCTAAATCTGAGATTATGACAAACAAAATAGATCCTTCCTCAACGTGCGTGCTGTGTCGACCAAAGATCGACAAGATACTGGCAAAGTTGTTGCTGCTGGCGGAAGTGGCTCACAAGCACAATCTGTCGTTCCGGGAGGTGGTGGCGGAACTTACCGCGCTTAGGCGGGATCTCCGGAGTAATGTGGAAAGGTCTATGGTCGAGGTGGTGAGACAGGAAGTGATTCAACAAGTGAGGGAGGCGGTCAGGAGACGGATGTCTGTGTAGAGGGCGGGGGATGGATGGAGGGTGGGGTGTCTCTCTGTCTGTCTGTCTCTTTCTATCTCTCTCTCGTCTCTCTCTCTATCTATCTATCTCTCTCGTCTCTCTCTCTCTCATAGAGGAGTAACACACATCGTCTCTAACTCTAAGGTACACATACCGTGCAGTTCAACCTCCACC